AAGGCAATACATGCGGGTTGAGATCAGTGACCTATTTAAGTTTCCTTTGCTCTCTGTCTCGATTTGGAAAGAAAACGGCCGCAGATTAATTCGGAAGCTCGATTTGGAAGTCTCTTTAAGCAAAAAAAAAAACTTAAATAAGTTCGCAAATCACAAATGCAGAAATCGTAATCACCTCTTTGTCCATTCCTTCGCTGTGTTAATAGAGACATTCACTCTCTGAGTGATTTGATTGAAGATCTCATGCCTTCAACTGTCGATTGAGTGAGTTTTGTTTTATTTTCTTATATATATATCTACATATAAAAAGTATAATCTTTTCTTATTCTATATTTTCTGTATACCCAGTCCTGTATCTTATTGGTAAGCGAGAGGACCCAGGTTCGATTCCCGGATGGGGAGAAACCTTAGGCTCCTTACTCCACACACAAACACACACACACGCGCCTCTCTTTACCCAGCAGTAAATAGGAATCCGATTGTTAGTCGATTGGCGGATCGTTTTCCGGGGGTAATAGTCCTTTTTTTAAAAAAAACAGGGATCACTCAATCCACGACTGCCGGGCACAATTGGCTGCTGCGTTTCGCCCGCAAAACCGCAATCGCTTCCCTTTACAATATATTCTGCGAAGCGCTTCGAGGCGGTCTCGAAGACGCGATAAGGCGTTACATCAAACGGAAGGATTATTATTATTACTACAGGGAACGGGTGTGAGGTGAGCAAATCCTCCAGCCCTGAGACGGGCCACAGAGATTTGACCTCAAGTCTTGCTCCTGCGTTAACAACAGGTTTCATTCAGAACGTTCTCTCCTGTGGAACACGAGCTATTTTGGAACCAGGAAATGTTTTGACGTGAACTTTGTTAAAGGATCATCACACTATGAAAACAGCAGGTCTTCACTTGAGGTCACTGGGTAACTATTTCCATGTTATCGGTTGCTTGTTTTTTCCCCCCAGAAGCATGTGGTTTTGTGGAGGTTTTAGCTTACAATAACTAATATATTTAGCCGATCATAAACTGGAACGACAGTTCTATTAAACTCACGGTCCAGACTGATTGACGCTCCAGTGCGATGTGGTGGTGGTGGGGGGGGGGGGAAGCATTGCATTGTCGAAGACACCGTCCTTCAAGTCAGATGTTTTACCGAACTCCCCTCTCTTTTTGTGCCTGTTGAGGTGGACGTTAAGGATCCCGGGGCACTGCTTGAAAAGAGAAGGAGGTTTCTCTCTCTCTCTCTCGCTCTCAAGGAATATTATTATTAAATTCTCCACAGAACTGAAACAGGACATTTGCTCCAACTTGTCCATGCTGTCGTTTATACTGCACACCTCATTGATCCCCTCTCCTACGCTCCTCGATTTAGTTCTTCATAATCACATGAATAACCCTTGCACTTGGCGTAGCTCCTTCCACATTAGGAGGACGTCTCAAAGCGCTTCACGAGAGGCGTTGTAAAGTGCAGTGACCGTGCTCTTTGTGGGCAAACACAATGTATTCGAGTTGGATTCCGATTACGGTTGAGTCCCCGGGGAAACCTTGCTTCAAGGTCAACAGTTGCTGCAGCGCAACAGAATCCCTTGTGACACAAGTTAGTTTTTCCTCACGGATGAATATTTAAGATAAGTCAGAGATACACTGTGTACGAATACGGAATGCAAGTTGGTCTCGTAGCTTGGACCCAGAATCATCCTTACCCATCGTCGTCATAAAGGTTTCACATCACGTGCAAACTGTACGAACTGGAGTTGAGGTGTAGATCAGCCCATGATCCAATAGAATGGCGGAGCCTACGCCTATGAGTCTCTCCGGGGAGAGAGAGAGAGAGAGAGAGAAAGAAAGAGAGAGAGAGAGAGAGAGAGCGCAGTCCATTCTAACAATCGATCTCCGGGATTTCCACGTACAAGGGGGAGAGGCGTGGAATTCTCAGCGTGGTTTGGACCAGCTTGGATTCCGAGTACGGGCAAGCTCCCGGGGGAGGAAGCTTTTTCCTGTGCGATGTGTGTTTTTAACGCAGGATCTTGGTGTGTGAGGCAATGGCCCGTTGCCCACGTAGCACATCTACAGAGCTGTAAAACATTCATCAGGATTTGCCTTTGAAGCACTCGTGGTTTGATATTACTACGTGTCAGATTCACCCCATTGTAAAGGTGCAATTCAGTCTTTGCGGATGTATTCAGGCGTTCGAAGCAAAGCAGCAGTTCGGTTTCATTAATACTAATATCAATAATAATAATCCTCGCAGCCGACATAGCCCCTCGTCACGTCGTCGAGACGTCTCAAAGCGCTTCACAGAACGCGCTGTCGAGTGTAGTGACTTTGTATTTGGTGGGCGAAACGCAGCAGCCGATTGCTCACAGAAACAGTCGTGGATTGAGTGACCATTTTTGGGGGGATGGGGTGGAGGGATTATTACCCCCCCTCCCTCCCCCCCCACCCCTGGAAAGCGAACTGCCCATCCATTAAATGCAAAGATTATGATTAGAAACACAACACTCACAGAAGGACACGAAGCCAGATGTACCATACAGGGGACTGATGCAAACTAAGGCCATGGCAATCCATGGGCAATGCATTTAACAACAACAACAACAACATATTTACATTTAACAACAACAACAACAACAACAACAACATATATACATGTATATAGAGCTTTCTGCTTCCACCAGGATACCCAATGCTGGAATTAAGTCAGTTATTCTCCTTTGCAAAATTCTTTTGTGGCTCCCCATGTTGTGCACTGGTCTGAAATAATAACTCTGGTCTACAAATGGGGGTGGGGGGGTGGGGGGGTGTTAAGTTTGTCACCCCCACCCATCTATCTGTCAGTCACTGACCAACCACTGACTCTGTACCTGTGACTGCGCGTACAATGCGCGATCAATGGTAAAGGTGTAACTGCTCTGCGTCTGTGAGTGTGAAGTGTTGAAGTCTTATGTGATGGATGACCTCTGTATCAGAGTCCCAGTCACTGAGACAGACTTAAATCAGCGTGAAGTGACCACCCACACCCTGACAGACTGACTGCTCACCCCTCCTTTACACAGGGACACACACACACACTCTGTGACACGCACAGAGTGTAACACACACACAGTGGATACACACAATGTAAGACACACACACACAGAGTGAGACACACACACACACAGTGAGACACACACACACAGAGTGAGACACACACACACACAGTGAGACACACACACACACAGTGTGAGACACACACACACACACACACACACAGTGAGACACACACACAGTGAGACACACACACACACACACACACACACAGTGAGACACACACACAGTGAGACACACACACACACACACAGTGTGAGACAGTAAAAACACGATCCTAACTAAACGAAACGCTGTTGCCATCACCATCCCTGCAAACCTGAACACAGTGTCGGCCCCCGGGTTGGCACAGGTCGGCTTTTTATTTGGGGGGTGTGTGTGGGGGTGGGGGGGTGTGTGGGGGGTAACAACTGTGCAATGCAAACGTTAGTCTGGTTTGGGTTAGTGCGAGCGCCTGAGGGACTTCCAATTCCAGCGGTGCCCAGGGGTTGCCAGGCTGAGTGCCCTCCTGACTGCCCACACCTTCACCAGGGGCAGAGGTACCAGAGAAAGCCAATCTCTCCCAATTTGCTTTATATAGGAGACTTGTGGTGTGTGTGAAACAGTGTGTACTCACACACACACACACACACACACACATACACTGAAGGACATGTGTGTGTGTGTGTGAAACAGTGTACAGTCACACACGCACTGAAGGACATGTGTGTGTGTGAAACAGTACAGTCACACACACACTGAAGGACATGTGTGTGTGTGTGTGAAACAGTGTACAGTCACACACACACTGAAGGACATGTGTGTGTGTGAAACAGTGTACAGTCACACACGCACTGAAGGACATGTGTGTGTGTGAAACAGTGTAGTCACACACACACTGAAGGACATGTGTGTGTGAAACAGTGCAGTCACACACACACTGAAGGACATGTGTGTGTGTGTGAAACAGTGTGCACTCACACACACACACACTGAAGGACATGTGTGTGTGTGTGTGAAACAGTGTACAGTCACACACGCACTGAAGGACGTGTGTGTGTGTGTGTGTGTGTGTTGGGGAGAGAGAGAGAGAGAGAGAGAGAATATCAGCATTAATTCCAATGCATTTTGGATTTTTGTTTGGGAAATTGGAGAGAGGGAGAGAGAGAGAGAGTGGGGAAAAAAAGATGAAGACAGAGTGAGAGTGAGAGTGAGGTGCAACTGGGAATTGGATAAGGAAAAGGTGGATGGATGGAGGCAGAACAAGGTCAGGTGAGGGATGGGATGGGATGGGGAGGGAGTGAGTGGATGAGTGAGTGAGTGAGTGAGTGTATATGACTGTGTGTGTGTGTTGTGTGTGTGTGTGTGAGACTGTGATCAGCTGTAGTTGGGAGGAGGGGGTGGGGAGGGGGTACCTTGCTGATGTCTCTCTCTCTCCCTCCCTTCTCTCTCTCCCTCCCTCCTCTCTCCCTCCCTCCCTTCTCTCTCTCTCTCTCTCTCTCCCTCCCTCCTCTCTCCCTCCCCTCTCTCTCTCTCTCTCTCTCCATCCCTTCTCTCTCTCTCCTCTCTCTCTCTCTCTCTCCACTTTATGCCTCGGTGACATAAGGAGGTGACCAGCCCCCAAACACGCCGGATGAGGGACTGTCTCGCTTGGTGGCGTGTTGGGCTGTTTTCTCTCTCTCTCTCTCTCTCTTCTCTTCTCTCTCTCTCTCTCTCTCTTTTGATTCAGAGCCTCTATGGCTTGGCTACACACACCCAGGGAGGGAGTGAGTGAGTGTCTGTGTGTGTCTGTGCGTAGTGCTGTTCGATAGTGTGCGTGTGTGTGTGTGGGTGTGTGGGGGTGGAGTGGGGAGGGGAGGGTTGGGGGGTGGGGGGGGGGGGGGAGAGACACAAAATAGAGGATTGCAGTGAGTGAGAGAGAGAGAGAGAGAGAGAAGGAGGAAGGGAGAGGGATAGAGGGAGAGAGAGAGAGCTGTGCATGCAGCTTGGAGGCGAAAAGAGATGCGCCTTTGCTTGCAATTAGCTCTGTATTGCTGCTGCTATCTGCTTGTCCCGGGTGAGACCTGTGGACCCGGGCGAGGCTATGGGAGAAGGAAGCAGCCCAGGAAGGTCAGCCCTCTCCTGTACAAGCAGTTCGCCCCCAACGTGGCCGAGAAGACCCTGGGAGCCAGCGGCAAGTCGGAGGGGAAGGTCGCCCGAGACTCGGATCGGTTCAGGCATCTGACCCCCAATTACAACCCGGACATCATCTTCAAGGATGAGGAGGACACGGGAGCAGATCGCTTGATGACCCAGGTACACCCCCCCCTCACCCCCTGTCACCCCCTGTCACCCCCCCTCACCACCACCCCACCACCCCACAGCAGCCAGTGTGACAACCCGAAGCTCTCCTTCATTTGGACATATTTATAAATATATATTTACATCTGTATATACATCTCTCTCTCTCTCTCTCTCTGTGTGTGTGAATTTACATATATATACATCTCTCTGTGTGTGTGTGTGTGAATTTATATATATGTGTGTGTGTACATCACACACACACCCACACGCGCACACATATATATATATTCCTTGCAATCATATCCTAATTTCCTATATATATATATATAAATCGATAACGTGTCCTTAATTAACATTATGCGTGTGTGTGTTTGTGTGTAAATCGTTCTCTCTCTCTCTCAAACACACACACACACACACATACGTGTGTATATATATATATATTCCTTGCATTTGTTTCCTAATATCCTTTATATCTATAAATCGGCAACATGTCCTTAATTAACATTACATGTAATATATATTTATATATATATACATATCCGTGTGTGGTGTATAAATCAGATATAGATTGATATTCAGATGTCTCTTTGAAATCCGATTTATCTAAATTATACATCATTTGTATCCTAATATCCTTTCTATGTAAATGTAATGTATATATGTATACATTTCTATATTACACACACACACACATGTATATATAATGGTAATTAATGACATGGGTTTCAGCACCTGGAGATAGGATTTAACAGGAATCTCGCCCTTGTGTGTGTGTGTGTGTGTGTCGATGTGTTCAATGTATGCAACCACCGCCATTTAGAAGGATATTATCGTTGCTATTCCCCAACCCCACACCCCCCCCCATCACCTTAAAATTAAAATAAAATAAAATAAAATCAAGCCTTGGCTGTAGCACAGACGAGAGGCTTTGGGTGGGTAACGGTGCAGCAGAGACAGAGACTGAGAGAGGGAGAGAGAGAGACACAGACAGACAGACAGAGAGACAGACAGACAGACACACACACACACAGTCTGGCTGTGAGGTGCTGTGTGTTTTTGCTCCGTTTTGTTCCTGTGGGCGGCTGAGGCTGTTGTAGCCACAGGGTTTGCAATTGATTCCATTAATTCGGGAATTTAAGTGTATGTGTGTGTGTGTGTCTGGGATGGGTGTGTGTGTGTGGGGTGGTGGGGTGGGGGGGGGGGGGGGGGGGGGGTGGGGAGGGGGGTTGGGGGGAGGTGTTGCTGAAATTATTGGTGAGGAATGCAGGGGATTGTAGGATTGTACACAAGGGAGAGAGAGAGAGAGAGAGGGATGGAGAGAGAGTCTATAATAAGAGATCTCTACACGTTCAAACCTCCTTGTCTTATTTTTTTAATCTATCTATCTATCTATCTATCTATCTATCTATCTATCTATCTATCTATCTATCTATCTATCTATCTATCTATCTATCTATCTATCTATCTATCTATCTATCTATCTATCTATCTATCTATCTATCTATCTATCTATCTGTTATTATTATTGTTTCGGTGGCTATTTCAAAGATCATTTATTTTAGGGCAGGAGGTGATGCAAGTGCATCATTGAACGAGAGATCGCTTCCCTCCCTCCTTCTCCCTCCCTCCCTCCCTCCCTCCTTCTCCCTCCCTCTCTCCTTCCCTCCCTCCCTCCCTCTCTCTCTCTCTCTCTTGTAGGCTCCATGGGTTTCTATATATAGACAATGAGCGACAGAAGAGGTCTCAGTCAGAGGAAGCTCCATCCTGACTCGATTCAGTTCAGCCCAGAAACAGAACCGAGACATACATGTGTGCGATGTGATGGAGAGAGAGAGAGAGAGAGATGTGGAGGAGAGCCAGTGATCAGAGCTGACTACCTCTTCCTCTCTCTCTCTCTCTCTCTCTTTCCTTCCTGTCACTTTATCTCTCTCTCTCTCTCCTGTCACTCCCTCTCTCTTTCCGTCACTTTCTCTCTCACTCTCTCATCACTTTCTCTCTCTCTCGCTCTCTCTTTCTTTCCTGTCACCTTCTATCCCTCTCTGTCTCTCTCCCTCTCTGTCTCTCTCGTCACTTTCTCTCTCTCTCTTTCCCCCCCCCCCCCCCCCCCCCCCCCCTGTCAACCCCCCCCCCCCCCTCTCTATCTTGTTACACTTCTTCACTGTCACTTTCCTTCTCTCTCTCTCCCTCTCTGGTCTCTCTCTCTCTCTCTCTCTCCATCTCTCTCTGGGATGACCTCTCTGGCTCAGGGATGCTCCTGACTCGCTCCCATGGTGACAGGCGGCTGCAGGCCGGTGCTATGGAGACCGTGTTGGGATCAGACGGTCCTGCATCCCGTTGCCATGGAGATTGGGGCCGGGATGAGGTCGTGTAGGATCCCCTGGAGTGCTCCTGCCCTCTCCATCTCTCTCCCTCTCTCCCTCTCTCCCACACACAGCTCTATGTCACTCTTTATACAGCCTATAACACACACACACACACACACAGTCACACACACATAGTCTCTATGTCCCTCCAGATACATCCTGTAATAGACACCATCACACTCTCTCTCTCTCTCTCTCTCTCTCTCTCACACACTCAAACACACGCAGTCTCCATCACCCTCCAGATACACCCTATAACACACACACCATCACACACACTCTCTCATACACACACACACAGTCTCTGACCCTTTAGATCCACACTATAACACACACACAGTATCACACACACACTCTCACACACACACACACACAGTCTCTGACCCTTTAGCTACACACTATAACACACGCGCGCTCTCTCTCACACACACACAAACACACAGTCTCTATGTCCCTCCAGATACACACTATATAACACACACTCACACACACTCTCTTTCTCTCTCTCTCTCTCTCTCTCTCCGTTGCCCAACACTGCCCAAATCCTCGCAGTAGAACGGGATCGGATTGGGAATATTCTCCCAATATCCTGACAAACCGTCAGCTGAGGAAGGAGCTGGAACTGGAAGCCAAGACCTCCTCGAACCAAGCGACCCTCTCTCTCCTCCCCCCAAACCCTTCACGATTCATTCCACTGAGTGAAATTGACCCCTGGTCTGAAATCACCGAAATAACTAAGTTAGTTAGTTAGTTAGTTTAAATAGGATCCAATTGAGGTTCCCGCTAGAGGCGGGCATTGAGGTCTCTAATATTCTGGCTCACCTGGGCACCATCTCACCCACAGCTGATGGATGGTCAGGGTAGGAGAATAAGCATTGATTTTCGTGCGACATGAGTTAAGCAAAGTTTTCACTCTGGCTTCAAGTCAATTGATTAGTTGAAAGAAACAGCCGCAGAGGAAGATTTCCTCATTGAGCGCAGATCAAACTCCAATCTACTGTTTCGGCATATGAGAGCCGTATAGAGGGGAGGGGGAATAGGAGGGGTTGGGGGCTTGTGAGTACAGAAACACAGGTATGGAGTAATTGGGCCAATTTCTGTGCCCGTGTTTATACAGCGTGACCAGAGAGTCATGATAACTACTCTTATTATCTAAAAAAAATCCTAATTTCTCTTAAGAATTATTAGATATTGTAATGGTATCACCCCAGTTTTGGTCGCCCTGTACTTCCCTCACCTGTACCCGTGTATTCCCTTCTCCAACCCATCCACGTAGGTCTTGGTATTGGATGCATCCTGCCTCGCTGATCCCAAGGTGGGGAGATCAAGGTTACTACCTAGCGCCCCCTTCTGGAGGGGCGCGGGGAGTGTCTATGTGCAGATGACAGGGAGGGTAAGACGAGGATCTGACCATGTTTGGGTGGCCTCCCACCCAAGCCCCAATGGTTGGGAATCCGGTCAATGAATCAATCCCCTTTACAAGGTGGTTGTACTGAGAGCTGCTCTGATTGTCTGCTGGTGTATAGACAGTTGTTTAGATACAACCCTTCTAATCCCGTTCAACTCGTGTGTCTTCCCACCACATTTCCAACGAGCTCCATTCTCTTATCTCGCTCCCTTTATTGCCACCTTCAGCTCTTCAATTTCGCTCATAGTTAGTGCCTCCTCTGTGTCCTCACATTGAGCATTTTTGCCCACGTAACACTCAGCGATCCCACTCAATATCCTGCGAGGGCTTGTGAGGTGTCCTCCCAACATGAAAGGCATTATGCAGCACCAAATAATAAGAATAATAATCCTTGCATTTGGTACACTTCCTTATCACGTCTTCGAGACTTTCAAAGCGCTTCGCGGGATATACTGTAAGGTGGCGTGACTGTGTATTTTGGGGGCCAAACGTAGGGTGAAAATGTAGGGATTATTGAGGAGTTTCGCTATCACAATCCAATCCGTAGATGACACATCAGTTCTTCTTGTTTCATTCGGCACGAGAGATGACTAGCAACGTTCAAATGACCCGAGTCCCGATTGAGGAGCCAGTGGGTAACTTTGGAGGTGGCTTGGTGTAAGCCTGAAATGCCGTGGGCAAATAAATCGAAGTGGGCACAGTTTGCGACTGAATTAAGAGAGGAATGGATAGTTATTGAGGGCAGTAAAGAGTGTTGGAAGGCAGGGGACTCGGCATATGTGAGGCGTGAGCTAAACTATTTGCTTCTGTATCTCAAGCACTCCGGGACTCTACCCCGTGTGAAGGGCACTAATTACATGCAAGTTGTTGCTGTTGTTGTATCCCAATCTGATTTTGTATTTGCCAATTCCAGAAACTAAAAAGGCGCGATATCAAATACAACAATTATTATTATTATCATCTCATTTGTGTGTATCCATGTCACAGAACATGGCGATGGATCATTATCTGCCATAAAATTGATGGGGCTCACACACACCGACCCTCTGTACGTTTAAATACAGTTATACACTTGTACTAAATATCGTTCTAAATACAATTATCATCATTCTTCCATAGAATAATCCTCGCATTTAATGTGGCCCCTTATCACATCTTCGAGATGTCTTAAAGCGCTTCACAGTGTGCGCTGTGCAGTGACTGTGTATTTTGCGGGCAAAACGTGCCAACCAATGGTT